TAGAATAGAATAGAATAGAATAGAATAGAATAGAATAGAATAGAATACCTTTATTATCATTGCATTCTACAAATACAATGAAATTTGAAAGCTACTCCAGCACAGTGTCCCAAACACCACATCACAATCACACTAGAGTATTTAAAAATTAAAATCATTAAAATAATCAAAACCTAGTCTAAAACCTATCTAAAACATATAGTAAGTTAGATAGTTTTAAAATGCCACTATATACATAGGGCTAATTCACATATGCATTGTTTGATTCACGACAATTATTGCCTTGGAAAAGAAACTGTTTCTCAGTCTATTAGTCCTCATTTTAAGACATCTATAACGCCCCCCTGATGGTAACAGTTCAAAATATGAATGTCCAGGATGAGAATGGTCTGTGGAGATTTTTAGTGCTCTAGAGAGGAGTCTGGTCTTCGCAATCTCTTCCAAAGAAGAAAGAGAGCAACCGATGATTTTTTGTGCTGTGTTTATAACGCTCTGGAGCATCTTCTTATCCACTGCAGAGCATCCAGCATACCACACCGTTACACAGTATGCCAAAATGCTCTCGATGGTAGAACAGTAAAAAGTAACCAGCAACTTCTCACCCAGACCACTCTTTTTCAGCAGCCTCAGAAAGTGCAGGTGCTGTTGGGCCTTCTTTGCAGTGGCCATAGTGTGGACTGACCAAGTAAGGTTGTCAGAAATATGTGTTCCTAGAAATGAACTCTTTCCACACAGTCTCCATTGATATATAGTGGGAGAGGCTCTGCTTTGCATCTTCTGAAGTCTATCAATTCTTTGGTCTTTTTGATGTTCAGGGCGAGGTTATGACTCTTGCACCACTAGACCAGTCTGAGAACCTCTAACCTATAGGCCATCTCGTCTTCTCCTGATATGAGTTCCACCAACGTGGTGTCATCTGCAAATTTTATTATAGAGTTAGTGGGATTCTATATTAGCTATTTTCTATATAGGAAAGAAAAGTAAAGAAAAGCAACACCAACGAACACTGGAGGCAGAGTACAACAGATTAGAACTGGAATTGCAGGAAAAGCCACAAGAAAAGAAGCTCAAAAATCAAATGGAAATAATAAAATACAAACTGAGCCTACTTGAAAAAGAACTAGCACATAAAATTAAGAATATAAAACAAAACTTCTTCAAAAATACTAATAAATCAGAAAAATGGTTGGCATATAAACTTAAAAAAGAAAAAGAAACAGATACAAAGCTTGAGGTGAGAAAGGTACATTACAACATCAAAATGAGAGCAAAAAAATAATAATTCAGAACTATTATGAAAATCTCTATGACTAAGAGGAACTATTGGAGGATAAAATAAAATGATACCTAGAAGAGACCAGATTCTCTCTTAAAGTCCCTGAAGAAATAAAAGCTACATTTAAATGAAAGGATAACAATGTTGAATTAATAGAGGCAATCAAGAGACAGAAGAAGAATAAAACACCAGGGCCAGATAGCCTACTGGCAGAATTCTATAAACAATTACAAGATTTTCTGGGACTATTACTGCTGGAAGTTTACAATGAAGTTTACAATTTACAATGAAGTTTACAATGAAGTTTACAATTAGAAGCTAAAATACCAAAATCCTGGATGGAAGCAAATATCACCCTCATACAAAAAGAAGACAAAGACCAGTGGTGGGATTCAAATTTTTTTTACTACCGGTTCTGTGGCCATCGCTTGGTGGTGTGGCAGGGGAAAGATATTGTAAAACCAGTCAGAGGTAGTATCTGCCGATTTTCCGAACTACTCAAAATTTCCACTACCGGTTCTCCAGAACTGGTCTGAACCTGCTGAATACCACCTCTGACACAGACTTATTGCAGATCAAAAACTACAGAAACATCTTACTTCTAAATGTGGACTATAAAATCTTTATATCAATAATAGCTGAAAGATTGAAAAGATTCCTGAATGAATTAATGCACTCAGACTAGAATGGTTTCCTGCCGAATACACAAATTAAAAACAACATGAGAATCATTTTGAACACATTGGAATATTATGAAACACACCTGGAAAAAACAAATGGCCTTGATGTTCCTAAAGCTCAGAAAGCATTTGATAATGTAAACTGGCAATTCATGATATTGCAGCTATAATATATGGAATTTGGGGGGAAATTTATCACTATGATCAAGGCAATATACACCAAACAGACTGCAAAAGTGTTTGTGAATGGGGACATAACAGAGAATATCAATATTAAACAAGACAAGGATGTCCATTGTCCCCCCTACTATTTATTTTGACTCTGTTGTTAAAAAATAGAAACATCCGTCAAGATATAGAAATAAAAGGCATGGAATGAAAAAAGATTACAAATTACAAGCCTTTGCAGATGATTTGGTTTTCATCATGGAGGAACCACAAGAAATGGGACCCAAATTAATAAAGAAAATAGAAGACTACAGTGACGTTGCAGGATTGAAAATATACAAAGAGAAAACTAAAATTTATTTAAGAATCTTACAAAGGAACAGAAAAAAAATTAATAGAAAAGATAGACATTCAGATAGTAAAAAAAGTAAAATATCTGGGAATCCACCTATCAGCGAGATGCATAACCATAAAAGAAGACAATTATTTAAAATTAACACAGCAAATCAAAATGGATCTGGAAAAGTGGAAAAACATGCAATTATCACTATTAGAAAGAATAGCCACTATTAAAATGAATATCTTACCGAGACTGTTATACCTGTTCCAAACAATACCAATAAAGCTAGAAATGAAATATTCTGAGGAACTGTATAGAATGGTAACCAAATTTATATTGTAAATTTGATAAATTTGCAAGGTAAGGAATTAGGAATTAGGCTGAAATTAATGCAATAGAGGAGGTTTTGGGTTGCCAAATTGGGAACTATATTATCAAGCAGCTACCCTTATTTGGCTAAAGGAATGGATAACCCTGAGACATAGACAACTACTTGTACTGGAGGGACATGATTTACAACTGGGGTGGCGTGCCTTTC